TTGATCAAAGACATTATTAGGAGATTTGTCGTTGGAAACAACTGTGGCGGTTGAAAGTAAAGCGAAAGCATAGCCGGTCTCGCGAAACTCTTCCTCGAAAGTACTACGTGAGCAGATTAATGCCGCTTTAGGTAGGGAATCGAGAACTGGAGTTGGAGTAGGATTAGTGGCGGGAACGGTAGGTGCGGTGCTAGAAGGATCCTTAGGTAAGAGCGTAATTGACCGATTATCAAACACAAATCGGTAACAGTTTCGCTTCCCATCATGAATTGTTTCTCGATCGTACTGCCATGGTCTTCCAAAAATCAAGTGACCGACGTCCATAGGAACAACGTCACAGTACAACTTGTCCTTATAAACTGCTCCAATCGAGAAAGAGACTAAGGCACGATGTGTGACTCTCACATCTGTTCCTTCTTTTAACCACGTGAGCTTGTATGGGCATGGGTGTGCTTCCTTTTGGAGGCCCAATTTGCGTACTGCATAATCAGACACAATACTGTGGCAACTTCCAGAGTCGATAATAAAACGACACACCTTTCCTTTAACCGTACAAGTGGATTGAAAAATATTTGTGCGAAGCCATGGTTCCTCCAAGTCTCCAACACTTGTGGTGCTAAACAGCTATGGCATGCCACTAGAAGAGAACCCGAATCACCCTCTAATTCGGTACTGTCGAGCGTTGTATCTTCCACAATATCATCATGGTATGAATCGTAGGATGGCTCAATTTCTTCGATGAGAAGGTTACGTTTTGACTGTTTAGGACAAGCTGTCTGAATATGACCCTTTTCTCCGCAAGCATAACAACGTAGTGCATTAGGTCGTGAAGAACGACGAAGCGTGTGATCTTCCATTGGTGCTGTGATTCTATTAGGGGCCGTCGTACGAGATGCCGTTGTTGTCGAGTCTGAACTTGTAGGCTGAGAACCCTGACCCATAGCTTGATCTTGTGAATTATAATTGCGCAACTTGGTAGAAGAATTCCAACTAGTAGAAGAAGTTCGAAATTGTTGTTCAAACGCAGCAGCTCGTCGATGAGCTTCGGAGACCGTGTTAGGGTCAAATTGAGCCAAGGCGTTTTGAAGTTGAGGTCGTAATCCTCCAATAAAGCGTGATACTGTTTGAATTTCACTATCATGAATCTCATTACGAGTCATAAGCAAGTAGAATTCTGCAGCATAATCATCAACGTTGCGAGGTCCTTGTCGCAGATTTTGAAGCCGTGTATACATGGTTCGATCAAAGTTGTAAGGAGGAAAGGTCTTGCGCAGGTGTTTTTTTAATTTATCCCATGATATAATCTTTGATTTTCCTTCACGGGCACGTGTTGATTTCAGTTGAAGCCACCAAGAAGCTGCTTGGCCTCTGAATTTCGTTGCCACAAGAGCAACTTGGCGATCTGCTGGAACTTGTTTAAACTCCAGTACTTCTTCAACCGTGACGATCCAATCGATAAGTTCTTCTCCACGAATACTTCCTACGAATTCTGGTAAATCAGTTTTGAACCCTGATTCCCAGCGATTGTCATATCTGTCGTTGAATGCTTGATCACGATTCCCGTTACGAGGTCGGTCATGAGCTTGAAGGGGGGCAAACGGATTGTCATCAGCAACATCATCGTCTTGACCAATAGGATCGTTTCGGTGTTGTTGTTGACCTAGCGTAGTCACCACTTCACGCAAGGATCTTTGAATAGACTCGTGAGTTTGTTGAATAGATGTCTGCATACTTATCTGCAGTTCTTGGATAGTTCTGCGTAATTCAACCCAATCATCTTGGTGAGCGTCTTTGTTCTGCTGTTTTGGCGGCATGTTGAACTGCAGGAACGACGAGTCTCTGATACCAAAAGTGATAGAGCGGAAGCACAAAAGAAAAGACTTGTTTCTCAAGTTCCCGAGAAGTTAGAGAAACAAGAATGATCTCTGTTTTCTACATGAAAAGCAGAGGAGAAACTCTGTTTTGCTGCACGAAAAACAGAGGTTTGAGATTTGAAAGAATACGCTTCTTTGCAAAGCTCGATAGATCAAAACAACTCTTTATTAATTCAATTCAATGTCCCTCTTAACAAACCTAGAGGTCTATATATAGATAAGCAAAGCTCTAGATTTAGGAAACATAACTTTAAACGAAAAGGAAAATGCTAATGAAAAGGAAAAACATAAAAAAGGAAAAAGCCAAATCCTTTGTCGAGCGTAAAAGCCAAAACGTGTTCGACAAGGTTAAGATGCGCTGCATCATTGCATGACATCTTTAAAACTTTGTTTGATGGCTAATCATTGAATAGGGCGAGCTGAACCAGCTCGGTAGCATGAACTGTAGGATGCAAGCATCCTCAAAAGAAGCTTGGCTTGCCTCGGGTAGTCGCTGGGTCTATTGTTAGATCCATGATTTGTGCTGTTGTTGCTTCAAGGTTTTGGCAAATCGTCTTTCTTCTTGGTCTAGATTGACCTTTGTTTTTGACAAAATTTATGATAAATTTACGAGTTGGTGTATTGTCGAGCTCACGTTGATTTGGCGGAGAGGTCGTTGTCGTTTTTTTTTCCGGTTTTTTGGCAAACGAAGCATAAATGGAGTCTTCGTGTATGTTGGAGGTAAGTCGACATCTATTCGATCTTGATGGAAACGAAGATATCAATAAATTCAAAGTCCAATTATGAAGATAGTGATGCAATAATGAAGTTTGATAAGAAATACTCAAGCATGACTACGTGAGCCTTAGCAGCTCTTGATTAAACATAATCAACCAATTCGATTATGCATGATAAATTAAATACGAGGATGTAAAGCACTTATCTCAATTTTTTTTGACGTGATGAACGAAGTCGAAAACATCGTTTGAGACGTGATGACTAAGCTGTCGAGATGGCTAGGGCTTCAGAATTGACTTCTCCTTATTGTCGATCTTCCAGCCTTCCGAGTTTGATGATTCTCTATTCCCCACAGACGGTAAAATCACCAGGTTTTGATTTTCGGTAGTGGGTTTTGGAGATTATTAAATTGGAGCTCGGAGATTAAGTCATCGAAAAGATGAACTACTTGAAGTTTTTATCAAGTTATAACTGGACATTTAAGAAAGGCTGCCTACGTACCCTTTCAAAGGGATCAAACCATTCGTAGTTCGTTTGCGAGGTGTTTAGAAGAAATCTAGAAAAAATTAGATCTTCTCTCTAGATTATGGATTTTTTGGTGGTTGCTTTAGATCGTGTTTTCATCCTATTTTCTGATTATCTTCAACTTATGAGAAACTTCTTATTTATAAGAAGATGAAGTCGGTTTATTTGACCTCGTTTCCCTTTTTTATTTAGGAATATTTCTTCCTTTTCCGTAGAAAACTTCTTATTTTTTTTATTCTTTGGAGATTTACCATTATCTTCAAAAAAATCTTCCTTAATCTACAAATCAATGTGATTTTTCTTATGTTCATGAGGTTAGGTTATCGTTAGAGAAATTTTTTTATGAATTATGCTCATTTCCCACCTAACAAGTATGTTCTCTCCGGAAGGTAAAAATCAGCTTGTCTCTATTGATCGTATATGATCTCAAGGGTAATTTCTATCTTACAAGTTACATGAGTGCAGCAATTTGTCATTAAAATCCTGATTATTTGCACAAATGTTCTTTTGTTTCTCTTTTATAATTTTCATTCACTACTGTTTCCTTCTTTGATATGCTTTTACTGTCTTCTTCCTTCTTCATCAGAATGGAAAGAGTAAGATGCAAAAAGGGACACAAGATGCAGAGCAGTCTCTCTTTTAAGCAATGGTTTCGAATTGATGTATTTCACATGAATCTGTAGCTTTGAATTGATTATTGTCAAAGTAGACAAATTAAGCAATCTCTCCGGAACAATTCAATCACCGGACCAGAAATTGAAAATATGTAAAAACGAAATCTACAATCAGAATTAGAAATTGAGAAGTCACGATTACTCAAACCACACTCTAATAAAAGCCAAATTCCAAGTCACGGTTACTCAAATCAGGCTCTGGAAACCCTAGGACGGGACGATATCACTGAGGATCGGAAGTAGAAGAAGACGAAGAAGAAGAAGAAGAAGACGAAGAAGAAGAAGAATCCTTGGTCATCGTCTCCTTCATAATCTCTATCTTTCTCTCCCTGATTGCAGCTAAGTGGGAGTTGATGACAGAGAGATATTTCCTCAGCTCCTCGTCCGTCAAACCATCGAGATTTGGGGGAAAATCGAAGGGATCGTAGGAGTTTTGCTTCTTCTGCTCATCGCTCTGCGCGTTGAATTTGTCGACGAGCTGTCTCAGGGCTTGTGGATTCTCCGACGAGACGCGGACTTCCTTATTTCCTGGCCCGTAACAGATGAATTCCACTGAGTCTCCGCACTGCCTAGCGATCTCCGTCGCTTCCTTGAACTCGGCGAATGCCTTTTCGAAATCAGCATTCTTCGAATCATCTGACTCTCTTGGATCCATGTTTCTTTTTTTCCTGGAAAAATCTACACAGAGATCGAATTTGAATAAGAAGAAGAAGAGAGGAAGCGTAAATGGAAAGGGCTTAGCTATGTGGAATCTATATATATAGACGGCCGAACAGAAGAAGAGAGGGCTTTTTAGCTCATTTCTTTCACCTTAGGGGGTTCAATGTAATATTGTTTTGTTAGACACGGGAAAATTTCGGTTCGATTCTTATACTTCTTGGTTTTGTTCGGTTCGATTCGGTTCAGTTCAATTTCGGATCATTCAATTATAATTCGGTTCTTTCAGTTTTTAATGAAATTTGGGTTGGTTTTTTAAAATTTTGTTTATTTTTCACAAATATAATTTGGAGTATCATAGTTGTTTTGCATATCTTTCTAGTTTTTGGTTACTAAGATATAATATAAAAAATTTTGAATATTTTTGGCTATCTAAAACCGAATCAAACCTCTCAACTTGATTCGGTTCGGTTCAGTTTTTCGGTTCTGGATAATATGGCTGTATTTATTAGTGTATAATTAGCATTATGTGTGATAATTAAAAAGATAATAATAATCAGAAACAAGGGTTTAAGGCTGGCACAGCGTCTTCAAGCGATGGCCACAACAATCTTTGTGCTCCTCTCCTTCTCAGGCAGACCCACTTGCTTGAAACGACAAAATTCGCCACCATAAACCCTATTTTATCTTCGCGCCTGCAGCGAAGAGTCACTCTCTCTTCAAGCTGGGTAGATTAACTTCTCTTTTGGCCATGGGGGTCTCTCTTACCTCCCACAATAACCCTCTTCTTCGCCATTTATCTCTTCCCTCTTCCTGGGTCTCGCGTTCTTCTTCTCCATATTCCTCTTCCTTCCTCGTCCCTTCCCGTAGAACCCTTCAAAGGTTTGCACTTTTTTTTTTTCATTTCTTTCTTCTTCGAGTGTTTGTTGAGACTTTACTTGATTATCGGTTAATCTGCACTGCTTCGTAGTTTTTAGCTCAATTGGTTCTTGTGTGTTTAGTTTCAAAGCTCGCTCATGAATCTCAGGAAAGATAATAAGTTATTCTAGTCTTCATCGAAGTTTTAGTTGATGGGTTCGTCGAGACTTTATCTGCTCTGTTTTGTTCTTGTGGGTTTCAGGAAAGTAGCTTCCGCAGAGGGAAATGTCAGTTATTCGACCACCACAGTGTGTCATGGATTCCAGCATCCGGGTCATCAACGGTCGTCTTCTGCTGTGTTCAACGGAGAGTGGATACTTCAGTCGGAGCCTAATAGGGCAAGGATGGTTCCGAAGACAAACAAAGTGGGGAATCAGGCGGAAGTCGGTGAAACTGTGAACCATCAAGTTCCTGGAACTGTAAGTGCTTGGAGAGAGGAAGCTAATAAGTTTAGAGAAAGAAATGGACAAATTGCTAGAAACCTCGATGAGGGTTCTTATTTCAGTGGCCCTCCTGTCCCAATTGTGCGGCCTAATGCTCCTTCATATGGAACCTCTCAGAAGATTGATTATGGATTCAAGCCCAGAGGTAACAGTTCTGCTGCTGCTACATTGAGTAAAGAATCAGTTGGCGTTACACAATCTGTACCTGTTGTGACATTGCCAAGAAAGGATTTGGAGGTTGGGAAAAATTTGGATGTGGATCTTAAAGAAGATGGCAAACAGAGACCTCTTGTAACCGGAAAGTCTTCTGATAACGCAAGCAATGAGAATCCAGTTTCCGTTTCGAAAGTGGTGAAAAGCACCGAACCTTCGAAAGTCCGTGCTAACCTCAGGAAAATTTATGACAAGGTTGTTGTTGTTGATACTGTTCCTGCTGCAAAGAATGCTGTTGCTAAGCTTGTGAATCAATATAGGAATCTTGTGCATTCTTGTGATACAGAGGTGAGCTTCATTTTTTCTGTTTTAGTTGTCATCCACACAGCTCAGAAACACATATAGGATTGCGATGATTTGTTACTTGCTAATTTCTCAGTTCTTATAGGTATCTGGGATTGAGGTGAAGGATGAAACACCTGTGGACCATGGTGAGTTGATTTGTTTCAGTATCTATTGCGGGTCAGAAGCAGATTTCGGGAATGGGAAGTCATGTCTCTGGGTAGATGTTCTTGGTGAAAATGGCAGGGAAGTGTTGGCCGAGTTTAAACCCTATTTTGAAGACTCATCCATCAGAAAAGTGAGTTTCAAACCATTTTTACATTTCTTGAACTACATCTTGAATCTCGATTGTTTCTTCGTATTCTGTGACCTTGTAAATGCTATGCCACTTTCTTGTTGTCTGATTTAATGTGAAGACTTTCTAGCTATCCTTAACTAAGCCCTGATAGGTTGGCTTTCTTCGTTTCAGGTCTGGCACAACTACAGTTTTGATAGCCACATCATTAGAAACCATGGAATTGAGATTTCTGGATTCCATGCAGACACGATGCACATGGCACGATTGTGGGATTCCGCGAGACGAACAGAGGGTGGTTATTCCCTTGAAGCGCTTACAAGTGACCCAAAAGTTCTTGGGGCCACACAGACAAAAGAGGAAGCAGAGTTCCTTGGCAAAATTTCGATGAAGACTATTTTTGGCAAGAGAAAGCTTAAAAAGGATGGGTCAGAAGGGAAAATTGTCGTCATTCCCCCTGTTGAGGAGCTTCAGCGAGAAGATCGAGAGGCTTGGATCTCATACTCTGCCTTGGATGCGATAAGTACGCTGAAGCTTTACGAGAGCATGTCAAAGAAACTTCAACTAAAGGAATGGCGTCTTGACGGAAAGCTACTCTCAGGAAGGACAATGCTGGACTTTTACCATGAGTTCTGGCGACCCTTTGGTGAGCTTCTTGTGACAATGGAAGCGGAAGGGATACTTGTAGATAGGGAATATCTTGCTGAGATAGAGAAAGTAGCCAAAGCAGAACAGCAAGTTGCTGTTGGTAGGTTTCGAAGTTGGGCCTCTAAGTACTGCCCCGATGCAAAGTATATGAATGTTGGCAGTGACACACAATTGCGTCAGCTCTTTTTTGGTGGCATTTCTAACAGGTATCCTTTTCCCTACCTTTTGAATTACCTTAAAATTTTGCGATGTTTAGGTTTAAAATGAATATCTTACTAAAAATAGAGATCAGTTGTATAATACTCTTATCTCAAAGAGTATGTTCCTTTACCTTGCTCTCAGAATGACTTGTGAAGAAAAATTTATTTCCCACAAGGAAACTAACAAGAATTACATGATTAGTCTCTCAGTGTTTAGTTTGTTGAATACTAAGTTTCTTTTTATTTCCTTAACAGTGAGAATCATGAGGTGCTTCCAGTTGAAAAACTTTTCAAGATTCCCAATGTTGACAAGGTCATCGAAGAAGGCAAAAAAGCACCGACGAAGTTCCGAAACATCAAACTGCATAGGATCAGCGACACCCCAATGTCAACTGAAACGTTCACTGCCAGTGGTTGGCCCTCTGTTAGTGGGGACACTTTGAAAACCTTAGCTGGGAAAGTTTCTGCTGAATACGACTTTATGGAGGATGTTACAGATACTACTGCAGAAGAAATTTCCGAAGATGATGAAGCGGCTGCACTAGATCAAGCTTCAAAAGCGCGAAAGTCCAAGAAAGATGTTGCAACAGACACGTCTGCTTATGGAACAGCATATGCTGCATTTGGAGGGGGTGAAAGGGGAAAGGAGGCATGTCATGCTATTGCCTCATTATGTGAAGTTTGCTCTATAGATTCTTTGATCTCAAATTTTATTCTTCCATTACAGGTAATTTTTTTTGCTTAACACCTTTTTCCTTAATTCTGAGCTGCTTATCTCTTTCCCATGAGGTTGATGTTTACGGAATTGTTTTCATTTGTCCAACAGGGGAGTAATGTATCAGGGAAAGATGGTCGCGTCCATTGCTCCCTGAATATTAATACAGAAACTGGGAGGTTGTCAGCGAGAAGGCCAAATTTACAGGTATATATTGAGCAGCTTTGTAATATAGTTCAAATCAACATTGGTTGAACCTAATTTGAGGAAACAACTTGACTAGTTAGGCCTCTATGTAGCTAAGATTCACTATTTGCTACTAATAAGCATGTTGTAAAATGCTAAAAGTGAGACAATTTGATTCGAAATTCTGTGCTGTGTTACCTAGAGCTATTTCAGAATCTCACTAGAAATGGTCAAGTTTTATTTTTATTTATAAACTGGTATACTGCTTATGATCTTGCAATTGCATCTACAATTTGTTACTAAAGTACTCCTTATCTGTCTAGAACCAACCTGCTCTGGAGAAGGACCGGTACAAGATTCGTAAGGCCTTTGTAGCATCTCCTGGAAATTCACTCATTGTGGCTGATTATGGGCAGGTGAAAATATAAAACTCTTAAGAAGTTGTAGAAACTTTCATAAGTGGTGTTTAGCCGGTTCACTGACTGTGATTCTTCCTCTGTCTTTCAGCTGGAACTTAGAATTCTGGCACATCTTGCTGGTTGTAAAAGCATGATGGAAGCTTTCAAAGCAGGCGGAGATTTCCACTCGAGGACAGCCATGAATATGTATCCACATATTCGTAAAGCTGTAGAAAATGGGGAAGTGCTCCTTGAGTGGCATCCACAACCTGGGCAAGACAAGCCACCAGTGCCGTTGTTAAAGGTGAGTCCTTGTTACAGCTGGTATTATTTTTCTGTGTTGAAAGAGCCATAAAATCTTGGATTGTCTGCATGACACCTAGAATCGGAAGGACCAAAGCTTTGAGCCCAAAATTGTTCAAACTGTTTGCGGATGTTTTGTATTCAGGACGCCTTTGCTTCTGAGAGAAGAAAGGCTAAGATGCTCAACTTTTCAATTGCATATGGGAAAACAGCGATCGGGCTTTCTAGAGATTGGAAGGTATAGTACTGTGTTACTGTTGGGAACTGATTTGTTTGAGATAAACGTGCTTTGATGTGTGATTCTTAAGGCTATAACAATTCCATTTTTTTTATACCATGTAAAAGGTCTCAAGGGAAGAAGCTCAGGACACGGTCAATCTCTGGTACAATGACAGACAAGAAGTAAGAAAATGGCAAGAACTGCGTAAGAAAGAAGCAATGAAAGATGGTTATGTACTCACTCTGTTAGGAAGGGCTCGTAGATTCCCGGCATATCAGTCAAATGCTCAGAAGAACCATATCAAAAGAGCAGCCATCAACACTCCAGTGCAGGTTTTTGTTTTGTCCGTCTTGATTGATCAGATACTAATTTCCTCTTCTTATTCTCCAACCTCACAATTCTGAGCATCGATGATCCACAATACAGGGAAGTGCAGCAGATGTTGCAATGTGTGCAATGTTGGAGATATCGACAAATCAAAGGTTGAAGGAACTTGGTTGGAAATTGCTTCTGCAGGTAACAAAAACACCTTCTCAAAAAAACTGTTATGACAAATCAATCACAGGCTCAATTATGTAACCTTTTTGGCATCTATTCGTTTGGGAAACAGATTCACGATGAAGTAATCTTGGAAGGACCAAAGGAGTCAGAGGAAGTTGCCAAGGATATAGTTGTGGACTGCATGGCGAAACCCTTCAACGGAAAGAACATTCTCTCGGTCGATCTATCGGTTGATGCAAAATGTGCTCAGAACTGGTATGCTGCTAAATAAGCTCCTTTATTAAAGGGGCTTTAACAAGAAACACTTGGAGGAAGAATATATATTTTTTTGGCTTGTCGGCTTTCTTTTTTTGGTTTGTAAATGTTAGAAAAGCCTTTATACGGAGTTGTTGGCAATGTAAATCGATCTCTCTACTCTAATCCCTTAACCTTGACGATGCTTGTATGCAAAACCTTAATGAAACCGTTTGTGAAGCTCCTTCCTCTTAGTCGATGATATACCACTGTGTTCAATCCGGTTTAGTTTTATTAGGCCATTAAAATTTTGTTAAATTATTTGCAAGAAGTTGCCAAGAAAGTAGTGAATCCCCATTCCCCACGTCATGACTAAATACCTAAATTTTTTCAGCTGCATGTGTGAAAAAAATGAGATCATAGTTAAGATAATGGTTGAGGAAACGTGATGATTAAAAAAAAAATAGATATCTCACGTATCTCATACATATTGTCGGGTGATTTCGTTGACTATACAGCATATATGGGGCATGTTATTCATTAGACAACCCGGTTAACACATTGTTCATTTCCTCATGAGATATTCAGACACAGTGAAATTTAGTAAATTCATCAAATATTAAGTAGCTTTTGGAACTTATAGCTTAAAGCATCCCCGTCTTTAGCTCTGAAAACATGAAGGCTGAAGTTACAGAAAAAAACTAAGAACCGAAAGCATGGGCCCATATGAATATTCGGAGAGAAGATCTATTTATGGGTTGTACCTCCCCCAAGGGATTAGTCTGGACCCTTCCATAGGTCTGAGATGTACCCTGAGTTATCAAAAAAAAAAAAAACCAAGAACCGGAGCAAGAAGTTATATTGTGGAATGGGTAATTTCATCAATAGAAAACGACTGAGGCTTTGATTTAAATGGTTTTGAAATTATCTTGAATCCTTGCTTTGTTTATTGATTGCTTGTTTGTTTGCTTGCTTACTTTCTTATTTGCTTCCATGTTTCCTTGATTGCTTTTCCTACATGGCTTAACTTGTTTACCTGCTTCCCTCTTTGCCTATTCGATTGTTCTTCTGCTTAATTTGTTGCTTGCTTCTTTACTTAACTTGTTTGTTTACTTCCTTATTAAATGCTTAACTTGTTTACTCGATCAATTTGCTTATATCCTTCTTTCTTTTTTTTACTTAATTATGTAACGTGTTCACTAACAAACAATTGTATTTATAGCTACTTTATAACTTATATATCCATTAATTATTTATGAGAAGATATGAAAAGATATTTGAAACAACAGAGCTTGTGAGATAAATTTGTGGTACTATATCAAGTGGTGTTGTCTGTATATATTTATTTTTTTGTAAGAATAAGAGTAGTTAACTTTGAATATCTATTAAAAAAAGTTATTTTTACAATTATTTATTTTTATCATTTTTAAGCTTATTAAAACAAGTTCTTTTTTACAATTATTTTTATAAGACTGGTCCTCTTTTTTTCTGTTACCACTACTTGTTATATTATATAAACAGACACTTTAGATGTCTTTCGATATGGCTATTGAAATTTTCTTTGCGATAATAGTGTCTAGTTACTAAATTACAGAATTTGTAAAATTGCTCTGAAGTCTGAATGTAAACGGATCAGAATGGATATATTGAACAATGAACACAACCTTCTTTTGGATGGTTTTTGTTTGTTCGAATGAGATTAGGATTAATTTGATAAGTTATCTGTGTCACTATCTCCTCTCTTCTCACCACTGTTCGTTTTCTGTTTGAAAGTTTGGATTTTCAGAAAAATGACAATCAAATTCTAGTATTACTTTATAGAAATTTCCTGTGAAGTTTGAACAACTTTAACGTGTATCCTCGTTGTGACAATGAGTTAACGAGTCTTTATGTCTCTGTTTTCCGATGAGAGTGAACAGATACGTGCGATGACGGTGTTCCTTGTTCAACTAGGCCTATGAGAATTGGGCCAGCAGCCATCGAAAAAGGTGTCTCTGGTCAAAGAGGTATGCGTTCGATCTCAAGGATATGTTACTTATAGACTTTTATTTTTGTAGGGTTTATAATGTTGGTGGATTATTTAGAACCCACTATTCCCGATGGGATCTCGAGATTAAGATCTGTCATAGATGCATTGAATTATTTACACGATGCAAGTCCTTTGTACTATTATTCTGATAACTCATCGACGTTCATCGTGTATTGTTGGCATAAGAGTTACTTATATCATTATATGCACGCCGATGAACAGTGGATTAATACTCAGCTATATTGATTATACATGGGCATGCTATTAAATAAAGAAATTACAGAAAAGACGTCTGGTACGCTCTATAAATCTTTAACATATGAATGCATAATGTGAATCAGTGGTATCGAGAAATTACAGATATGTTCTATATACTCTATGTCAGTTTATGGAAATATATAATAATACAAAATGTAAAATTATATATGGAAAAATTAAGAGGAAATGCTCCAAAAATTAATAAAAATTATAACACAACTGGATTGTTGGTTCATGATGGTCAACTTCCAGCTATCATATTAGACATATCATGACCGATTCATATTCTATCGCATTTTAACATATCCCCCAAAACATAAACGTTGGGCAAAACGATTATAGTCCACAACCATGCCTACGAGAATCAAGCTGTTCTAGTATAATATCGATGATTATTATTAGTAATGGGCCTAACTCACACCCAAAAGCTAGCTCAAGAATGGAGGGTTGCCTCATACTATTTATATTGGCCAAGTCTGAAGCGTAGAGTATAATCGCGAGTGGAGGCCACAATCAAGACAGTTGGGTATAACCTGGGCTCTGCTACCATATTAGTAATGAGCCTAACTCACACCCAAAAACTAGCTCAAGAGTGGAGGGTTGCCTCATACTATTTATATTGGCCACAAATCTCCCAAACTTCCGATGTGGGACAATTCCAACAATTATCTTAGCTCAGTCTACGATAACTCCATCTCCTGTCCATGCTGTGCTAAATCCACTCGTAGGGTCGTCCTGCGTAGGAGGAAGTCGCCATATGATCCAAGCCTAATGGAAGAAAATATCAACCATCCGTGCCACCCGAACCATCCGCTCAAGCTTCTCCGTAACGGTCCACCTGATTACGCTGCCAGAAAATGCAGCCTATGTCAAGAGGAGCTCACAAAGTTTCTTTACCACTGTCCTTATTGTAATTTCAGCGTGGATATGAGCTGCGTGAACACACCACCGCCTCTCGAGATCGTTGAACCAAGATGCCATGAGCATCCACTAACCTTCATGGCGAGGGAGGTCTCTTTCACTTGTAACGCTTGCGGTACGAACGGGGAGCGGAACCCTTACTTGTGTTCTCAGTGCTGTCTCATGCTGCATCGGGATTGTATTACGCTACCACACGTCATTAACGTAAACCGCCACGAACATCGTGTTTCTCACACTTACTCTCTTCGTCATGGGAACCACGTGTGTGGAGTGTGTCGTCAAAAGATTGATTGGAGGTATGCAGCTTATTCTTGCTTGGTATGCCCTAGTTATGTTGTTCATTCTAAATGTGCAACAACACGAGACGTGTGGGATGGGGTTGAACTTGAAGGAGTACCTGAAGAAGTGGTAGATGTTGCCCCATTCAAAGTGATTGATGAAGACGGAACAATAAACCATTTTTCTCATATAGAGCATAACCTAAAACTTCTTGAGGATGCTATTATTCGTGATGGAAGAAGTATGCGATGTGAAGCTTGTGCCCGTCCTATCTACTCCGACAAGTACTACAGCTGTATCGAATGCAGTTTCATTCTTCATGAAGAATGTGCTAGTCTCCCTCTTAGGAAACGACATTGGCTTTACGCAAAGCCGCTTTCTCTACGTGCAAGTGAAGGTAACAACATCAACCTTTTCAGCTGCGATGCGTGTCAAAGAATATCAAATGGTTTCATGTATGAGTGTGGTGATAAGGCATTAGATGTACAGTGTGCTTCGATGACATGGTACAGTGATTATGAATGTCATCCCCATACCTTATTCCTCACTACGCTGCATGGTGACATTTGTGGGTCTTGCAACGAGTTTCAACCTTTTGTGCTGCGTTGCGTCCAAGAGTGCAAGTTTTGCTTGGATTTTACGTGCGCTACTCTACCGAAACGTATAAAACACAAGTGTGATGATCATTTTCTTTATCTGCGATATGGTGAAAACTTGAGAGGTAGCTATTGGTGTGAGATTTGCGAAGCCCTAATAGATCTGAGAAGATGGTTTTACACATGCGACGATTGTGGGGTCGTTTGTCATATTTCTTGCCTATTTGGGGAATTTGTGAACATCAAGCCAGGGATCATAGCCATAGTCGAGGAGAAGAAAGTCGAAGTGGTTCCCAACGATCAGGTTTCAAGACCCAAATGTGCCCATTGCAACTCTCGTAGCAGCCTCCTTTTTCTTTTCAAGGTTTCGTACGACAATATTGAAGTATATTTTTGTTGTTTACAATGTTTGAGATTGCACAAATTCACATAAGATAAAAAAAATTCCACTCGAATGAAATATCATTTTGCATAATATATGTTTTAAGTTTTTTTTGTTATCATTACTAAACGTATTAAAGTTAAAATACGATAAGAAAATTCGAATCACTTGACCAATAATAACACTTTGAACTAGTGAAAGTTTACTAAAGTTTGATCAAATGGCTATTAAAATTTTACTCTAAATTGGTCCCGGAGACCAATTATTTCGTAAAAAATAATAGATCTCTTCGTCTAATTTCCTTAAAACCAATAGGATGACTTTTTATTGAAAGTTTGAAACAAATTGAATTATTTATTAACCAACGAAAATCAAAGCATATATTGATTTTGTTAACGAAATAGCTTTTCTTGAAAAACAACTTCAACAATAGGTTCCTTAAGCACATTTCCAACTCGTTTTAACAACTCGTAATCTTTTGTGAGTGTAATTTATAAATAATCTTATTTCTATTATAAGATACATGGTTGTAACATCAAAGCCCGTCTAGCTCAGTTGGTAGAGCGCAAGGCTCTTAACCTTGTGGTCGTGGGTTCGAGCCCCACGGTGGGCGACTTCTATGAGATGGAAACTTCCACTTTCTTTTTTTTTGTCGCTCGATATAATATTTTTCATTACGTTAAACAAAAACATGCAATTAAGATTTCCAATGAAACCACACAGATATGCTGATATTATAGGCACTAGGCAGAGAGTATATACGTGAAGAAAGACAGAGAGAGCACTATGCCACTATCATGAACACAAATTTGCTTCTGTTTGTTTAAATAAAGAGA